TATGCTTAAATAGTAATGGAAAGTGAGATGGGATGAAAGAAAAGGAAACCAGATTGAACATGATCAGGGTTGTGGTAAAACCCTTCAGCCGACGAGATGAGCGGGACGGTGGGAGGGAAGAGGCTGAGAGGGGAGTGGAGGAGAGATGAGAGAGGGAGGTGGGAGAGAGAGAGAGGAAGGAGGTGGGAGGGAGAGAGAGGGAGGAGGTGGCGAGGGAGAGAGGAGGAGAAGAGAGAAGAGTGGGAGAGAGAGAGAGAGAGAGAAGGAGGTGGCGAGGAGAGAGAGGAAGGAGGTGGAGGGAGAGAGAGAGAAGGACGCGGTGGGAGGGAGGAGACGCAGAGAAGGAGGTGGAGAGGAGAGAAGAGAAGGAGTGGAGAGAGAGAGAGAGAGAGAAGGGAGTGGGGGTGAGAGAGGAAGGGAGGTGAGGGAGAAGGAGAGAGGAGGAGGTGGGAGGGAGGAGAGAGAAGAGGAGGAGGTGGAGAGAGAGAGAGGGGAGTGGAGGTGGGAGGGAGAGGAGAGAGGAGAGGCCCGAGGAGAGGAAGAGGTAGGAGTCGGGGGGAGAGAGAGAGAGAGGAGGGAGGTGGGAGGAGAGAGAGAGGAGCGAGGTGGAGGGAGAGGAGAGAGAATGGAGGTGGGAGAGAAGAGGAGGAGGTGGAGGAGAGAGAGGAGGAGGGTTGGAGGTAGAGAGAGGAGGAGGTGGGAGGGAGAGAGGGAGGACGGTGGGAGGAGATGAGAGAAGGAGTTGGATGAAGAGATGACCGGAGAAGAGAAGTAGAGAGAGAGAAGGAGGTGGGAGGGATTAGAGAGAAGGAGGTGGGAGGAGGAGAAGAGAAGAGGTGGGAGGAGAGAGAGGAGGAGAAGGTGGGAGGGAGAGAGAGAATGAGGTGGAGAGAGAGAGAAGAGGTGGGAGGAAGAGAGAAGGAGGTGGGAGGGAGAGAGGAGGAGTGGAGAGGGGAGAGAGGAAGGAGGTGGAGAGAGAGAGAGAGAAGGAGCTGGTGGAGAGAGAGAGAGAGAGAGAGAAGGAGGTGGGAGGCAGAGAGAGAGGAGGAGGTGGGAGTGAAGGGGGCTGGTGTTCTCTGGACTTCCCTGGTTGAAGGAGGGAAGGGGTCATGGGGCCTCACCTGTCCCAGGGTAGCTGCAGGGACACTGGGGATGCCTTTTGCAGACATGTACTCGGATTCTGTTGTAAACAGGTGACCGGTAGCTTGGTTTGAGTAGAATGGTCACTTACCTTCTCTGAGATACTGAAATCAATTGGTATCTGAAATGTTGATCATTTAGTTTAATTTGTTGACGGGGCTCATTGCCTCCTAATAAAACAGGTGGAATGTGTTAAAGCACTGGGGAGGTTTCCTAACTTTTGTAAATCTTATTTCTCCTTGTCTCTTTTTTCATCAACAGAGGAATTACGGAAGTTGAGCTGGTCCGGAATCCCTAAGCCAGTGCGTCCAATGACGTGGAAGCTCCTCTCAGTAAGTCCCACCGCGCCGCCCATCAGCGCCTCCTTCCTGTGCGCAGGGACTGCGGGTGTCTGGCCTGAGTAGGGCCTGACAGCCACTGCCCACGGGTTTGCCCTGGCTTTGTTGCAGTGATAAAGGCCTTTAGTTTCCGTGGGATTGGGCAAGTGTTGCTATACCTAGACATTGAAATAGATTCTCCCGCCCTTCAGGGCATGGGAATGAGACACTCAAGGAGACT